AAGGTCTGAAAAGATGGGTTATATCCAGTTCTCCCATTTCTCCACACGGCTTCTCAAAGTGTAGTCCCTGGACCAGCAGCATCAGCATCACTTGGGAATTTGTTAGAATTGGTTAGAAACGCAGTTCCCTGGACCTACTGAATTAGGAACTTGGAGGTGTGGCACAGCGAGCCGTGGTTGATCAGGCCTTCCAGGTGACTCTCCTGCACACTCAAGACTAAGAACCTCTGCTGTAAACTAGATCAACATTCCAACCACCACTCCACCCTATTAAAATATTTATATATATATATCTTGGAGCAGGAGTTCCTTAGGAGTTGTGTTGACTATTCAGTAAAAATTGNGGCACCAGCGTTGTCAAACATTTGAGAACATTAGTTTATTCAATTCTTACAGTTCATTGCCCTTGGAAGTAGAGATTAATCTTTCCCTCTCCCTAAAAAATTGAGAGAGATCAGGTCACCTGAACAAAGCCAAGAGGTAGAATTGGGTTTAGAACTCAATCATCTGAGTTTTTCCAGTGTTCCGTCTGTTCCACTCTCTGAGATTTTTTAATATGTGAGAAAAAACTCTCAGAGGAAGTGAATGCTGTTTCTTTGTTTACCTGACACATGTAAACAGGATATGTCATTTTATCCAATGTCTGCTGCTCAAAATGCATGAAGGAAAGAAATATTTCATCAATTCAAATATGTTTCCTATTAACATTGCATAATTTCAGAAGTGGTGTCAGCATTTCTGAATAATCTTCAAGTGATTGTTTTTTAACATGTTAGCATTAAGGTTCTTCATCCTCTGGCCTTTCAAATAACGGATCATCTGAAAATAAACAGTAACTTGTTTAGGAATGAGATATGATTTGAATAATTGCCCTGTGAATTTTTAAAACTTTATTTGAACATAATTATAGATTCACAACAAGTTGCGAAAATAGTACAAACACGTCCCAGTCCCAGGGACCCTTCTTCCGCCAGCTTTCCCCAATGGTCACATCTGCCATGACCATAGCACCATATCAAAACCAGAAAATGACATTGATACAATCTGCCTACCTAATCCAGATTTCACCCTTCACATTTGTAATGTTGCACATTAGGAAATTGTTTTTATCAGCTGTTTATTGTTATTGATAATAGTAAGATTTTGTGATTAT